TATGCTAGAATATTAGCAATACCCCACCCCACCCCCACCCAAATAAAAAACAGAATATATATATATATATATATATATAATAAAATGAGTGGCAAAATAACTCAAAATATTTTACATTTTAACAAACACTGCATCAACAATATTAGATTTTGTTTAACCATCAAAGAGGAACAAAACCTGTATAAGCAATTTACATGATTACTTTGGGAACGTATGATTAGCCTAGACTTTGAATTTTGAACATGTAAAAATATTATTTGTGGAAATCATTTAACAGTTCATGTTAAATATTACATTGTCTATCTTTTTGGGTTAACTTGTAAGATTTTCGTGTTTGAGGATGATGTTTTTCTTTCTTTCTCATGCATGTAGCACCTGTCCCACTTTACAGAAATGTATTACTTAATATTGTTGTTTTATGACTTTCTCCCTTCTTAGTTCTCTGTTCTTAGCATTTGTTTATAAGCCAGACTTCTTTAATATATATATATAATATACATGCGTGTGTGTGTGTACACATGCAATCAGAAGAGATAAAGCATAAAAACTCAAAATATGTCAGTTAGGACATGGTTTGATTGTTATCAGTATGAATATTTTACTTTAGTGATTTTTATGTTTCTCTCCATCACACACACATATACAAGGTTATTTGCTATTTTGATGTTAATATGGTATCTCTAAATAAGATATATGATTGAAACAAAGAACAGAATGTTGCCATTTTTAATATATATTGTAAAACAACCAGCCTGCATAACATGGTTATATGTATCAAAAACACATATCTACAATCTACAACAAATACAAAACTATATTTTAATGAAATTATATAGAGTCCTATGATCAACAAACTCAGTATTTCTACACAACTATTCAAACATGCCAACACTATCAGACAAACTTTGTTTTACCTGGTATATTTTATTACACTTGGCTGTTTTAAAGTTTACAAAAAAACATGTTCAATTGTCTGAGGTTTGAAATATACATATATATCACTTTGAAGGTCTAGGAATTAGTGATGGTTAATGTAAAAACATTTGTTCATGTGTAATATGTGAGACTACTACTTTATGATGAGTGAAACTACTTATTAATGTGATGGTTTTGATGTCAAAAGCTGGTGAAATATTGGAGAACCAAGTTAATTCTTTTTAAAGAGAAATATGGGTTGAAAAAGTTCTGCAGCTACCTGTTTTCATAAAACAATTAGGCTAATTTTTTCCAATATTTAGCTGGTTCTTGATATTCATATCATAACTATTAAAGTATTATACTGTGTATATAAATAGCATTTTATAAAATCTTTTATGTCTCATCACTCAGCCCAAATGATGAGTTCTGGTATTGAACAAGAAGTTGGACAATGATGTGTTAAAGGCAAAAGATAGATCTGAAATGCTATTTTTTTTTTAAAGTCTGATTTTGAACCACAATGGAAAAATTAAGAGGGATGTGGAGAAAAAATCTGCAGTTAACGTGTTGCTTGTTCACATGTAATGTGTGAAACTACTAATTCATTTGTAATACATGGATGTGGATGTAATTCATCAAGATTTGTATGTATCCCCCCCCCCAATTCACAAAGTGTCAGTCACACAGAGTGACAAACGTGTTTAATGTAATGCAACAATAATATTACATTGCTGTTGTCTATAGTAGAAGGGCCAGTCAAGCTTGAATACCACACCTAGGAAGATCTTATAAACCATAAAAAATTTACTGTTTGATACATATACATACATCTATCTCTCTCTTTCTTTATATATATATAACACCATTTTAGTTCATAGAAGCATTAATGTAAACCAAGATTTATGTATATGTTTGTGTGTGAGGTATTCTACATGTTGTGCTGTAAAATCCTAATGACTAAATATTAAAAAGCTATATAATATATGAGCAAAGATGCAAAACATGACATATTCCATTCCCAACAAAATTGAGCTATCAACAGAATTATATTGATCAGTTACTTTTACTTTTTTATCTTTAATTTCATGAAGCAGAAATGATTATTAATCACTGACTGATTTATTGTGTTTGATGTTAAATAAAAGCAAAATCATAAAAGTTATATTCTGATTTTTTTGGGTTTTGTGGAGGGGGGGGGGCAAATTGATTTTTCTAGCATTTTGTCCTTTGAAAAAAAACTTTTTTAATTCTACCCTCTTATAATGAATGAAATTACTTGTTCATGTTGTTATGTATCTGCTTGTTTGATAATTTCCCGTAAAAATTCTTTCCGAAAAACTTCAGCGATACAAGTCTTTTCTTAATTAAAACTAGTTTATTCTTTCTCGTTACAAACTTTGTAATACACTTAATTTCCACAGTGACTTTAAACTTAACTGCTTTTATAAACACACGCTATAATTCACAGCGATTCACACACTTTACTTACAGTGCCTACTGTTCGCTTGACTCAATTATCTGTCTATATCTATCTATCTGCAATTATTTCTCTGCTTTATTTGCCGGGCTTATATACTAAAAAAGAAAGCGCCTAGAACAGACTAGAGTTGCCAAGAAAATCATGATCCTTCTAGAAACTCCAGCGCGCATGCTTCCAGCGTGACTTCTGCTGTCGTAACAATGTGTAATGTGTGTAACTACTTGTTTGTGTGTAATGTGTGAAATTACTTATGTATAATTTGTGAAACTACTTGTTTATGGATTTCAGTATGCACTCAATGAATAAAATGTATGTTTCATAATAGAATGTAAATGTTTTTTCTTTCCATCCAAAGAAAGTTCCTTGAAACTGTTGAAGCATGAGCTGGCCAAAACAAACACTAAAAAGGTTATTAAAGCACAAAAAGTGATCAAAACAAAATTGAAGAAAAGAAGTGAAAAAAAAAAATCTTGGTCTGTATTGATAATTGTAAGTTACTCTGCAGTATACAATTTCCAGCTCACATGTTTATGGAAGTTCTTTAAACAGATCATCTCCAAAATTATCAGAATCTCATGAAATGTTTGTTTATAATGATTTACAAAACAAAATTTTGCAGATAAAATGAACCAACTCATCAACAGTTTTCTGTTGAACATACAGGAGATTTTTTATTTCTGATAATTTTTGAAAGTCAAACATTTAGAATTAGAAATGATACCAACTTTTTAGAAAACATGGTCTTGGAATAGTTTTTTCTTTTCCTGTTTGATATCTGAGCCATAATTTCTTTCCCAACCTTTTTTCAGTAGAGGAACATAATTGCAGTTTGAAGAAGTACAAGTATAATAATTCTGTCTTGCAACGTTATAGTGTGTAAACAGTTTTGATTTAGTTGGACCAATGAGGAAAATCATCTTCAGTTGAAAAGCTATAAATTATGTGGAGGTTGTGAAATTGCACAATTTAACTTTCACTAACTCTGTATATAAAATATGAATCACTCAGAAGAGCAAACATTTATTGTACAGAAAGTTGTACCTGTGTAGAAAATCTATCAGTACAATAAGATGTGTTCATACAGAAAAAAAAATTGACGTTGCTAATGTCACATCAAGTTTTGTGACTAGAGTTTGATTATAATTGGCTCAATTATTATAACTAAAGAAGAAAAATACCTGTTAGTAAGTGAACCTTCAGACTATCTTCACGTAATAACACCACAACTCTGCTTTGCGGAAAGTTTTTAATTAGTGTTTATTCTGTGATAATTACTGAGATTGGAACCACTGTCTTTTAAAACAATTCAAACTTTATTCACTACTGTCTGTACAGTTTAAAAAAAGAAAACAATCATCATAATGAAATGTAATTATTTTTAAGAACTTTGACCAAAAGCAAGCTAATTATATAATTATAATTAAAATAATCCTAGAAGTAACTTACAAACTGATGAATACAATAATATGTTGATTAGAAATAATGACATAAATCAGTACACTAAAACATATAATGATTTGGATACATTAAATCATCATTTGGATATTCTTTCTGAAAATAATATTTTTATCATAATCCCAATAGTAAATTTGGCTATCACTATCAGGAGTTGGTGAATAAAAGCAGTTTGCATTGAAAGCTATTTTACTATTAGTCAAATATTTAGTGTACAGGGTTCGGGTATTACTGGTTTTGTTGGATATGGATTAGTCATGATAGTTATTTGTTAGGTTACTGAAGTTTAATTTTTAAGTAATTTTTCAAATTCAATTAAAATTGAACTGGAAATCAGAATTATCAGTTGGTTCTTATGCGTGCATAAAAAAGTGTATTTTGTATGTTGTTTCATATTTTAGTTGGGCAATTAAAAAACATGCTTTAACTAGAGCAGTCTCTAGCTAGGAATTTGACAGCCTGCCTTAATGACACACTGAACCTTTTGTTAAGGCCTTGAACATATATGATTTTCCTAAGAATTCTTTTAGGTGTTTTTTTTTTACATGTATTGAAAGAACTGTAAGTCATCTAAGGTAGGTGTACACAGCATAAGCTAGACCTTTTAATCAGTAGACTTGTTTCCACTGTATTGTTGGTTTATTTCTCGTACTTCCTTCATAACTAAATACTGAAATCAATGCTTCATCAATAAAGGTTGCTCACTTCCCAACCATTCTCTTTGCAAGCTTGCTATAGGAACATTTTATATTTCTTTCACTATTCTTGCTTCTCTTAGTTTTTTCTGTTAGTTTTTCTATTTTATCACTTCAGTATAAAATGCAAAAGTAGAAACATGAAATTATTTTCTCTGTAGTTGAACTTGACATTAAACATGTGGGACACGATCCAAACCTCACCTGGTTAAGTTCTTCTGCTGTATTTTTTAGATGTACAGTGTTTATGTAAAGATTTTTTTGTGGTGTAAATGTATTTTATAGGTTAATACTGTATATGTTAGAAGTGTACCATTTTTGATTAGATACGTTTTTGAATTGCATTTTTAGGAGTTTACAGTTTTGATATGAAGGATTTTAATTATCTGTTTCTAGGAATGCACAGTAGTAATATCAAGGTTTTTTGGGGTTTTTTTCCATTTTCTTTCCAGGAGTGTACAGTAGTTCTGTTGAATCAGCATCTTTCCTGCAGCCATCAGAAGCTTCAGGAAACCAGCCTTCCAAGAAGACACAAGATACTGTAAGTAATATGGTTGTTTGTTAATTATACACTTATTAATAAAAACAACATCATACCATGATTGTTTATTTGATTGAAAACCCTATGGACACAGGATTAATTCATTGAGCAGAGCATTTACTGGAGAATTAATATTTACTATAACTTTTAGTATACTGTGTGTATCTTTGAGAAATCTGGTAAACCTTTAGTAAACATTACAAGTATGTTGTACACAAAAATATCAGAATTTTTAATGAAGTTTTTTGTACTAAAGATTTGTCTGTTGACTAAGACTCTGACTAGTCTGACTGTAGGATGATTTTTTATTTTAAAAATGGAAACATTTTTCATCTTACAGTTTTCATGTTTTATTTACATAACCTCTAGGACCTCCTAAATGAATATCAAAAGTTTTTTCAGTAAAAGTTGTATATTTATTTTATTTTCTATAACACTGACTGTAGTGAAATCATCTGTAGCAAAAGTTTATGAATATGAAATAAAATCAAAGTGTGTATTTTTTCTAGAATGATTGTAGATTATATCAGATAATTACAATTACTTAGCGTAACAGCTCTAGGCCTTTAACATTTTCACAAATGTTTTCCTTTAATGTTATTGCTCTTTGAACTGTGAGTAACTAGCAAACTAGTTTAACAAAGCAATAAATCACCTGGACAGAGCTTAGTGCAAGATATAGTAGACAAAGTAGTGAATTATATCAGATGAGCAGCTTGCATTCATTGCTTGCAGAGAAATTTTTTAATTAAATTTATTTCCTTTAAGATTTCTTACCTAACCAAACAAGTTTCTGATTTTTACATTTTAATTACTTTTGTATAAAAAAATTGAAACAAACAAAGTGTAGTACTTAAGTCTGGAATCTTGTTTTTTTTTTCTTAAAGTTTTTGTACTTGCAACAACAAAGTCCCCAAGGGCCATTAAGCCTTCTTTTTTATTAATACTGTTGTTGTCTCACAACTCATTTTTAAAAATTCAAATCAGCTATTCTAAAAACAAATTATTGTCAAACACAAAAAATAGAATGTCCTAAAATTACTATAATTTAACTGAGCTATAATTGAGTTTAAAATTTTCATTACTTGGTCAAGTTGAGCTTAGAAAATGGGAAGCAAATAAACTGAGGCCAAATTATTCAAAATCTGTTGGCAGAAAGATCTAGCCTAACAGAGAAATCAGAAAGTAGAATTTTATCTTTCTATCGCTTATAAATAATCCATTGGCAACTTTCATAGAGAATTAGACATTTTTTGAAAAACAGGATGTGTGATAAGAGTGATGTGCCATGTAGGTTTCACTTATTTACTTCTCAGTAAAGCAAGAAACTTGGAAGCTAGAAATATACATTTGAGTTTGAGAATATTTATAGTATAAGTGTGTCATTTGTGGAAAATTTGTCATAAAGTATAGAAATAAAATTTAAAATGGGCAGTTTGGAATGAGGAAGTGTCATGTGTCACAGATAAGCAAAAATTGAGAATGTATTTAAGCATTTTATTTTGAAATTAATAAGTTAAAACTTATATTAAAATTTCAATTATAAATTATGTGTTTACTTAAATTTATTGACATATGTTGATAATAAAGTTGTTTAATTAAATTTTGAATGTAACTCTGTCAAAGGTTGTGATATGAGCACTTTGACCCCCAACAGTGCACATAGGGTTAAAATCCATTATGGAGTTTTTATAATAATACTAAGTCAACTCAGTATAGACTTGTTTAACTGATTTTCTATTATTTAAAATGAAACTTCAGTAGGTATGTATCAACAAAATGTGATGTTTTTGCTTCCATTATTGTTTAAAATTGTAACTGAAGAACTTTTAGCATGATATTTTATTTCATATTGTAGGTTATAAGTATTTTCATTCTTTTGTCTGAGTATGTTTAAGCTTTTTCTTTTTTTCTCTAAATATTTTTTTTTTCTGTCTATTTATTTGTCTTTTCCTGAGGGGAGAATGAATGAATTTTAAAAGATGGGTGGTTTTAAAGATTAATAACATACTGAAAAAAATAATGATATTCTTGAAAAATAAAAATAATATATGATTCAATTTTTTATCTCATACTTCACCTGTAAAGCTTTCTTAAAGAAGCACTTTAATCCACATAAACTATTTTATAGTTTGAAGGTCATAAATCTAGGTGAAAAAAAAATGATAATACAAATCCATGGTTATTCTAGAGGACTAAGGAGAGATTTTGTGATCAAAGAAACCATGTCTCTTGTTAGGCTCCAACCACAATTTAAAGAATGGTAGACTTGGGTTGTTTTAACTGTAAATGAAAAGTTAATTTAAACATTATTGAATTTTGTTAGAACTAAAATGTATGCCAAAATATTTAAGATTTATATGTAAGGAAGTATTATATGTTGTTGGACTTATCAGCATAGTTTATGGGTGAAAGAAAAACAGATATATTTAGAAATATACATGTTCATTACACAATTTATTCATTTCAACAGTTGCCACTGACCAAATAATTTTAATTTGTCAGTCAAGTAGCTTCATGTTTATTGCAACATGATGTTAAATAACAGATATTAATGATGGTGCCAGAAGTTGTTTAAAACTCTCATATTTCACAGTTAAATTCGTGTTTCCTGTCTTTTTTGTCTTTAGCTTCTAAGCCTTACACTGATTGTCTTTTTTTTTTTACCAGTAACATTTGAAAATAGTTGCAACGTGAGACCAGTCTTTTAATGTTGTTTCTGAATTCCAGATGTAACTGTTCACCACAACTTATCCTATATTTCTCTCTGCTTGTATCTATAACTTTTTAACTTTTATTTGTATTGTTAATAGATATGTATGAGACATATGTATCTGTTGAAGCAATGAACATCAATCCTGTTAATAGTGGTAGAGTAACTGCTATACTAGAAAAGCACTAATATTACTGGAGTTAATGAGTTATGTGTATATATTTATAGATAGTAGCAAAAATAAAAGTACAAAACAACTGTGTAAGTATTGTCCCTATTATTTATTTTCAGAATTCTGATGTTTTGAATTATTGGTTTAAAAAGTTGTTCTGTGTTGGTCACAATAGGTAAAAGTTTCTGAATGTTGTATTCAAAGGTATAGAATGATCCTTAAGGTTTTTGTCACAGAAAAAAAAAAAATCAAATTTTAATGGATGTCTTAGGCATTTCTCATTGAAAAGTAGCTCTGTGGACCAAATTAATTAGATATATTCATTCTTACAAAATATGTTTAAGATTCTTTGTGCATTAGTTGATATAGAATATTTTCTTAATTAGTAGCTTTTTTTAGGTTAAAAAATGTATTGTTATTTTGTATAAAGGCTCATATCTTATATTTTTTATTATTTAAATTAATTTTTTGTACAGTTTAGTTTATATATTTTAAAAGGTCACATAGGTTGTGTTTGGTTTATAGTATTAGCTGTAATTTTGAACAGGAACATGACACAAATTTCATCAAAGCAGAAACAGAGAGGTTAACCATGCAGAAGTGTATTATAAGCAACACATTGGAAAGCGAGAGCACTTATGTTGACTGCTTAACAACTCTTCTTCAGGTGAGCTAAGAAAATATAAAGACAGAACCCATCACATTTTATTTGTTAGTGAAGAATAACTGGCATTATATAGTGTAATGATAGCACTTAAAAATAAGCACTATGTGTGTCTGTGTGGAAAATTATTGTAGCCACATATTTTTAAAGAAATGTGACAGAATTCTTGTAAAGCAGATAAGCACAGTTTATCTTAAATAAGTTTAGCAGTGTATTTGTAAACTAAATATAGCACTGTATTGAAAAATTCAATACAATTTTGTAGTGCACATTCAGCTGCATATTAATAAAATAAATATATGTTTATTGTTTACTCTCATTGTTAATGTGATTTTTTAAAATCATAATAATAAGTTAAACCATTAATATTTTAACAATGGAGACATTATGAATTCATAAATTGAGGCCTGAATTAAATGGAACCAGCTCATTGATTTATTGTTAAAAATGGGAATGTGGTTGATGACAAAAAGTATTTATTGTCAGTATTAAATTGTTTTTAAAAAGTAGTTATTAAATTATTAATTTTCGTTTTTGGTCCATGAGTTAATTATTGAAAGTTTCCATGAGTTAGGTTAGTTAAGTGTCATAATGATTCCAATACAGTCTTACCTCTATTCACACAAAGCTATCTCAATCTTCTTTCTGTCCCCTAAGGATTGCTAAAGAATTTTAATGCTCAGCATACCAGTCTATATATCTGACAAATTTTGTGCCACTATTGAACATGTATGTAACGTGATCACCCTCCACCAGTAGTATTGTGTCACCTATATTGGTGCAGCTAGCTTCCTCTGATGTTCCAACTTAATCCTCATTTTCTCGATTGGTATAGCGTCGTTTAGACGTGTGGGTTTTTTGCATGTGTCTGCCATTTAACATTGTACTTTTTTGACATTTCAATACCTTTTTCAAAAGTTTTCTTTTACTGTATTTGCATTCAGTTGTTTCAACTTTTTTTTTTTACATTTGTTTATTGTTACCCAATTATATGGTAACTTTGAATGATTTTGGGATTCATTGTTTCAACAACAGAAGTTCCTATTACAGTAGACAATGCTTCTGGTATGACTACTCAGGCATTGGGTTCAACTTTATGTGCTAAGGAGGTACAGGATTTATTTTGCAGGGAGCTAGTTTCCTATGTTCGGCTGGAGATTACTTCTCATTTTCAACCTGATAATGTTTCTGAGGATGAATACAATCAAGGAGAGGAAAATTGTATTCACTTTTCCCAGCACCTTCTTATTTTGATTTATCACACTCTACACCATTTTTTTTGTACAGCTAATTAATCAGGTAAGTGGTACATTACATATTTTCTTTTCCTTTCTACTTGCTGATGTCATCAATTGGATATTTATACTATAAATATTATCAGAATTCTCTATCATTCCTCTTATGTCATCATATATCCAGACTGGTCCCTCCTTCCTAAGACCTCTGTTGCCCGGAAAGGCCATTTGGCTTTCCTACCCATTTCTTTATATCCCATCTGTACTCCCATTCTGTTCCAGATTGGCTTCTTTGTCAGGTTCATTCCCTATGGTGTTATGTGGCGTGTACTGCCTCTTTTCATGATTCACGTTCCTTACCTTTTATTCTATGGAACCTATCTGTTTCCCATGTTCTATTCCCTGTCACATTAACTGGTTGGGTTTGTCAAATCCTTAAGCTGGTGTATTCAGACTTATCCATGGAAGGTTGCCATCTCATCAAATTTGTCATATCTCCATCTCTTTGGCTGCTCATCTTCATTGTCCGTTGGAAGATATTATTCAGGTTGGAATGTGGATTATTCCACATTCCTTTGTTGCTCATTATCTATGCTATCTGGCTGTATCTTTCTCAAGTGGATATTGTCTCCCTCCTGTAGCAATTCTACACAGTCTCTATACCTTTGACTTGGGTATGTCTTTTCACAACATTTAATTTATGTTTTCTTTTCAGGGACTTTCTTTTACAGATTAAAAAAAGGATCCCACTCTGTGACAAGTGTTGCCTGATCAGACGTGCTTTTTTTCATACTGTTAGTACTATAATGCTCACTGTAGAGGTGGGGTGTTACACAAGACCACTAGTGGCATGCCTAGTGGTATATACTTATGTGTCTCTAGGTATCTGTAAGTTTAACCCCATGGTGGACCATCACTCATGAACAATCATGAGTAAAGCAAAATGGGATTTCTTCCCATCTCTGCCAACCATTTGATTGCATAAATCAAGGACAGTCTTCTTTTCAAAATAGAGAATTGCAGACACCCACTGAACTTTCTCCAGTGTGACATTCCTTCATACCAGACTTTTCACCACACTTACCCCCCCTCCCTTTACCCTCCAAATGGAACACAGGAGTCCTTAACACTTAACAGTTCCCAGTAACTGGGGTGGTAGACTAAAGAGGCTTCCTCCTGATTGTGAAGTAGAAATTTACCTTACAATACAACCACATATTTTTCTACTCGGTGAGAAGAGGGCAAAGCTGGGTTCGATCCTTTCCTTTCCCCTGGATTCTTATTCCCAAGTGGACCGATTGTAGGTTGGAGCAGGACCAGCCTACGTGGGATCCTCCTTGTAATACTGTGTTCAGGATGACACCACCCTGTTCTTATGATTGAACACAGTAGAGGCCCACTTCTTGTTAATTCATGTTGCAGGAGGTTTCCTTCCCTGTTGGGTTTGGGGATTTTGTCTGCCTCATAATACCAGCTACAGGACGTACATACACTGTTCTCACAGTTGAGCAAATGTTCCACATCCTCCTCATAATTCCAGGTGCAGAATGTGTCTTCACTGCATTTACGGTTGGGTGAGTTATGATTCCTGCTCTTAATACCATTTACTGGTATTTCCCTGTTCTTATGGTTGAGGCAAGGACATGACCCTGTAATACTTCTTGCTCCTACAGTGGTTTTGGGAGTTTGTCCGGTTTTGGCCAAATGCTAACTTCCTCTTTGGAATTATGGTTGCCTGACATATGATACTCTGTTTGCTTATGGTTGGGGATGGTGTGCATATATCACATGTTTCACATGCCCTAGCCACAATGTTTATGTTGCTATAATTGCATTTTTATCTGGGTGATCCTCAACCTCCTAATATTGAGGATGGGTTGTGGAACCTCATCTGTCCAGTTGAGGTTGGTTGGATATTTAGTCATGGCTAGTTGTTTTCCTCCATCATTATATTTCAACAAACTGTCCTTTGACTTGCTGTTTCTTCTCATGTGGGTGTTGAGTTCACTTCGAGTTTTTGTTTCATAGAGCTGCTCTTCACCTATGGGAACCGGCTGTTTTCTGGTATGGTTTGTGCAATGGAGGATGATTCAAACTTGCACTGTGGATTGCACCCCTCAGAACAAATTATGCTTGTGCACATCTATTTATTTCTGCCTGTGTCAGGTTAATTTCCTTCTTACAGGGCAAAGAGCATACCTGTTCCAAAAATAGTACTGTGCCCTACATGTGTGCTTCAGTTTCATCTCTGAGCACATAAGTTATTTCTAGGTGATCACTTTTCTCAATGTTTCACTGTTAGATGCCTACACCTTTTCAATGTGGGATTCTAGCTTTATGTGAGAGTAGATAAGACCGTAACAGAAGTTAACATTTTCTTACATTGAAAATTTATTTTTGGAAATACATATTTTTGTTCAGTTTTAGAATAGTTTATTATTCAAGGTTTAACTGTAGCATCAAATGTAGGATACCTTGTAAATTTACTCTCAGATTTTGCAAGTAATAAATAAATTATATTATTATTGATAACTAATATATATATTATACTCTACTGATACGATAAATCAGTGAAATTCTACATATCTTTTAATCCTTTCTTCTACCAACATCCATGACACTCAACTGAATTTCCCCTAAATCATTTTAATTTGTTCCTATACATCACTTAGTCCTATACATACTTAGTTTTGTACAGAATTGTACTTCTACATATTTCAAAATTAATCTGAAGGTTGAAAGTTCTTTGTGATTATTAGATCTGGTTTGTTTGTTTTTTCAATTTCAGAAATAAATTACCAAAAAAAAAAGAATAGAATATTAAAAATGCTATTTATAATTCATTAATAAAATACCATCAAATTAAATTTTGACAAAGATAACTCATCAATGTGTTTATGTTGCTTGTATTTCTGTGTAATATTTCTAGTACATGAAAGCCTTGAAGTCCAATATTACAACCTCACAACCTCTTCTGTCATCTGAAGATATCAATATAATTTTTTACAAAATTGCTGATCTCCATGTGATCCACTCCAAGTTTCTGGAGAGTTTGATGAGTTATGTAAATAACTCGGATAGTGAAACAAGTGTTTGTGAGTCTTTCAAATCCTTGGTAAGTCAAGAAGAAATAAGTTTTAGATTTTAAGAATTTTAATATATTTCACTTTTTATGAGTGACAAACTCATTATCAGAATTTTTTGGTATTTCATGTATAACTATTGGTTAAAAAATAGATGATACGTGAATATATAGATAGATAAGATCAGACAGATCGACTGATTGATTTTAAATTGTAATATATATATATATATATGGAAGTGCAAAGAAAATTTAAACTGTAAAGAAATGAAATGAGTAAGGCTAATGTGAAATGTTAACAGGCCAGTAAGCTGGATGTGTATGCAGCATACCTCCGAAACTACTCCAAAGCTGTGGAGACAGTCCGTAAGTGTAGTCTCGAGAACTCAAAATTTTCAGAACTTACCAGGGTGAGGATTACTTTTTATTTATTATGATTTTTTGTAAGAATATTTATACATATTATTTTAAGGTATTGGCTCAAAATGGCTGATTGGAGATGGAGTTTAACAAAGAAACCTATGAAGATATGATTCTTGTATAGTTTTTGACTCAAAACAGGTTTATATTAAAATAAGAAAAAGGTATTAGGGATGAGGTGCTTACAATAAGCTAAGGCTTAAACGAAAAATTATCAGGGATGAACTTAAAGGGGGTTATTGGACCTACCATATACAAGGTATGGGTGAAATGTAGGCTACAGATGGGCTCAAATTAAGCAAACTAGATAGCAAAGTCTTCAGTGGAGCTCTACAGAATTTCATTAACAATAATTTAAACTAAACTTGAGCAAGTCAGAGATATTGGGAATAAACAATCGGTAGGATAGCTAGGGCTAAGAGGATTTAAAGAAAATAAGTTAAATAATAGTTTTAAATATAAGCATAGTAGATTCAAGAATAAGCTTAGTTGTTAATATTCTAATGTTTGGTGTATTAGGAACAAAATGGATAAGTTCAGTGCTCAAGTTAAAATGGAAGACCATGATATAATGGGAAATATCTAATGTTGGTGAGATCCAGAAAGCATTGATAATAGAAGTTATTTTGAAGTTTCAGGTTATAAGTTATTTAATAGTGATGGACTTTTTAAAAGCGAGAGTGGCTCGAGATGGTAGGGAATAGCTTGAATCTATATTGATTACAATCAGAAGATTGAAAGGTACAAAGTTTTTAATTAGCAGTTATTTGATTGTGATTGTATGAAGCCAAGTAGTGAAAGAAAGAAGTTTCTTGAAAGTTCAAGATGGTTCTGTATCAAATGGCCAGGGACCCAAACAGAGAGGATACCATTTTAGATTTATTGTTAACCACTAATAAGGGTGTGGTCACAAGAGTTGAACTGGGGAATATTTGTGGAAGACTCATTATTGCAGAATTAGGTTTCGTCTTTTGCCATATGTTGAGATAAAAAGAAATATAACAATTTTAAGCCTATAGCTTTTCGATTTAATGAATTGAAAGGTGATGTGAAATTCTGTAAAACATATTGCTTTTAATTCAAGAAATGAACATAAAGGATAATATCTGGGATAAGTATCATAAGTGTAAGAGGTTTAAATTGAAATATAAGATGTAAAACTTACCTAACTATAGGAAAGATGGGGATTTGGTTAAAAAAGGAAATTATGTAAAGATTTTATGAAAAAAAGCTGGTTGATAATGTTAAAACCAACAGCTAGAACTTTTTAAGTATGTTAAAGGTAAGCAACGTTTTAGAAAGAGTATTGGGCACTTAGAGAATGCTCATGGCAAGGTATCTGTGGGAGATTATGAGATGGTTGAGCTTTAAAATGTTCTCTTCCGTTCTTACAAGACAGAATATTCCTTACCCTGAGCATTGTATGAGAAATATTTGGATTGACTTATTTTAGTTATTAACTATATATATATAGAATCGATCATCATGACTGAATTTGCAACCACCAGGTAACCATGAAAG